TACAAAGTTAAAGAATGCCTAGGAAATAACAGGGGAGGAGACCTGGATGTCCCTAGGCATGGTAACGGCTCGTTGCAGACAGCACTTGATACTAAGACACTAAAAGAGAGGATAACTATACGTCACAATTTCTCATGAACTTTATAATGGAGCAAATTCAACCATGGAACATATCAAAATGACCAATATATAATGACTAATTGACCTCATTCTAAGAGGACAAGGACATTAGACAACTTGGAATTAGTATAAACACTGAGATAAACAACATAAAAGGAGGGAAGAGGCTGGAGAGATGATTCGGTAAGGGAGGTTCTTACTACTCAAGCACAAAGCCCTGAGCTCGGATCCCCAGCACCCATGTAAAAAGAAACAGCTAGCAGAGCAGCGTGTGACTGTGATTCTTGTGCTAGGGAGGAGCAGACATGGAGGTCCTGATGTTAAGACATGTCTCCTCGCTCTCGGTTTCTTAGTTTGTATGGCTAGAGGCTTATTGATTTTGCTGCTTTTCAGAAAGCAGTTTTTGTTTGGTTGATTTTTCTCTATTGATTTCCTATTTGAAATTTCATCGATTTCTGCTATCATTTTTTTTTTTTTTTTCCTTTCGTGGACCTGAGAACCCAAGTCTGCATGCCAGGTGAATAAATACCTTACCACTGAGCTACATCCCCAGCCTCTGCTGTAATTTTTTTTTTTTTTTTTTTTTTTTTTTTGTGCTTTGGAATTTACTTACTCCTCTCCCAATTTTCTAAGGTAAAAACAGAATGTCAGTTTTAGCTCTTTCTTCTTTTCTTACACATGTAATTTTCCCTCTGAACATTGCTTTTTCTGCACTCCTTTTTTTGTTTTGTTTGTTTTTATGTTTTTTTAGACAGGGTCTCCCTATAGCCCCAGCTGGCCTGGAATTCATTATGTAGACCAGGTTGGCTACCATCTCACAGACATCCACCTGCCTCTGCTTCCCGAATGCTGGGATTAAAGGCATGCACCACCACACCCAGCTGTACTACGTCTTTTAAAGATTTATTTATTTTTATTTTATGTGTATGAGTGCTTGCCTACATGTGTGTATGTGAATGTGTGCAGTGCCCCAGGAAGCCAGAAGAGTTATGATGGTTTTTAGCTGCTATGTAGGTGCTGAAACCTGAACCCAGTTCTTTGGCAAGAGCAGCCAGTGCTCTTAATGGCTGAGCCATCTCTCCAGCCTCTCTCCAGGAAGTTTTGATGATAACATTAAAAAATTTTCATTTACTTGAAATTAACCTTTCTCTTGAGATTTCTCTTTTGTCCAATACATTATTCAGAAGTGTGGTTTAAGTAGGGCATGGTGGTGCATACCTTAAATCCCAGGATTTGGGAGGCAAAGACAGGTGGATCTCTGTGATTTTGAGGACATCTTCTTTAATTTTTTTTTTTTGATTTTTTGAGACAGGGTTTCCCTGTAGCCCCAGCTAGCCTGGAACTCACTATGTAGACCAGGCTGGCCTTGAACTCACAGAGATCCACCTGCCTCTGCCTCCCAAGTGCTGGGACTAAAGGCATGAGCCACCACACCCGGCTTAATTTTTTTTTTTTTTTTACATTTAGTTATTCATGTGTATGCATGTGGGCACATATGCTATACTTGTGGAGCTCAGAGGGTATCTTTCAGGGGTCGTTAGCTCTTCTATCATATGGTTCCAGGAATCAACTCGGGCTGCCAGGCTTGGTGGCAGTCCCCCTTTCCCACTGAGTCACCTCACTAGCCCTCCATCCTTGTTTTGACTTGTATTTCTAAGAAGTTGATGTACTTCTTGTCTATCTTCCCATACAGGTAAAATATCCATTTCCTCAGGCTTCTTTCAAGATTCCTTTTTTTTTTTTTTTTTTCTCCCTGTAGCCCTAACTGGCCTGGAACTCGCTGCATAGAACAGTCTGGCCTTGAACTCACAGAGATCCACCTGTCTCTGTCTCCCAGGATTAAAGGGATTAAAGGTGTACGCCATTACACCCAGCATTTTTTTTTTTTTTCTTTTAAGGCAGGATCTCAACTATGTAGTTTGGGCTAGCCACAAACTGATAATGTAAACATGGGCCACAGGCTGCCCTTAAATGCAAGGTGATCCTCCTGCCTCAGCCTCATGAATGCTCAAGTTACAGGTGTATGCCACCACATCCCGCTTTGTTTTTGTTTTTCTTCATCTTTTTCCCTGACTGCTTCTCAGTTTTGAGTGTTTCTGTTGAGATGTCCTTTAAGATCAGAAGTCACCCAGCAGAGTTACTTGTACTAACAAACCCATCAAGGACAGCCTTTATTTCTGTTACAGTGGGGCTTTGTTTGTTTGTTTTGAGATGGAGTCTCAGTACTCGCTGGAACTCGCTGTGTAGACCAGGCTGAGCTTGTTGTATAGAGCCACTTGCTTCTGCCTCCTAAGTGCTGGTATTAAAGGCATATGCTACCCCACCCAGCTAGTAACAGTGTTTTTGATTTGTATAGATCTCTTTTCTGTTATTTATTAGAATTTCCAGCTCTCTAGTTCCATTTTTTATCTGTTATTGAATGCTGTCCTAGTTTGCTTTCTATTGCTGTGCTAAACACTATGATCAAAACCAGTTTGGGGAGGAAAGGGTTTATTTCAACTTCCTTCATCAAGGGAAGCCAGGGCAGGAACTCAAGCGGGAAACTGGAGGCAGAAGCTGATGCATAGACCATGGAGGAAGACTGCTTACTGGTTTGTTCCCCTGGCCTGTGATCATCTGCTCAGGGGTGGCAACACCCACAGTGGCCTGCGCCCTCCGGCATCACTCAACAATGAGAAAACACCCCACAGACATGGCAATGGGCCAGTCTGATAAAGGAAATTCCCCAATTGAAGTTCCCTCTTCCCAGGTGTGGCCAGTTGACAGCTGAAGCCATCCAGCCCCAATACCATCTACTTTGTTCATTAGCGCCTTGGCTACTGATCTCAATTATTTTAAATTCCCATTCTGACAATCACCATATCCTTGACACCTTTGAATTTGATTCTGATGATTCAAATGGTGTTTTTTGACTTTTAGTGTGTATTTTTTCAACCAGGCTTCTGTTAGGGTTCCAAACAGCAGCAGCTTCCCCCCTCCTCAACCGGGACCTACAGACTTTGGAGCCCAAAAAAGGGAACTGAGCTGATAAGCACCTTGACCTTTGAAGTCAAGGGAAACAAACTCTGCTGAGAAGCAGCCTGCCTTTCCTCTGATCTCCAAAGATAAGATAAGCAGATTCTACCTGATAACCAGAGATTTTAGAAGCTGTTTATTACAACAGCTTTTCTCTTATCTCAAGAGGGAAAAAGTAAACACTTCCAGGCCCTAATCCTACCTGCTTTTCCTGCTTCCCCCTCCCTGATTTCTCCCCCCTTCCACACCCTAAATCCCCCATATATAAAGTCCCAGCTCACAGCCTGTGGGCTGACATCTTTCCCTTCCCTACCCTTCCCTGACATCTTTCCCTTCCCTGACATCTTTCCCTTCCCTGACATATATCTTTCCCTTCCCTGACATCTTTCCCTTCCCCAAGGGAAATGTGTCCTGTGCGAAATAAAGCTGTATCCCACTGAGAATTCTATCTGTGCCTTGGTGCCTCCTCCATCCACGCTCGCTCTCTCTCCATCCCAATTTTTAACCTATCAGTAACCAGTGCTAGCCTCAAACTCACAGTAATCCTCCCACCTCTGCCTCTGGAGTGCTGGAACATTACTGAATTTTAAGAACTGTGGTTTTTGTGTGTGGCAGGGTCTCACACTATAGCTAGACTCACCTGGAACTCACTATGTAGCCCAGACTAGCCTTGAGGTAATCCTTTTGCCTCAGCTTTCCAAGTGCTAGGATTATAGGTATGAGCTACTATGCCCAGCTAGAAAAAATTTTTAAAAAGATAACTGAGGGGCTAGGGGATAGCTCAGTGGTTGAGTACTTGCCCAACATGTAAACCTCAAATTAAAAAAACTTAAATATAGTTTAAATGAACATATAATTTATGTTTTTAAAAAATATTTTATGTATATGAATGTATTGCCTGTATGCGTGTAAGTGCACTCATGTCGTGCAATGACCATAGAGGTCAGAATTGAACCTGGGTCCTCTTCAAGAACAGCCAGTGCTCTTAACTGCTGAGCCATCTCTCCAGTCCTTTTTTTTTTGTCTTAAATTTTTTTAAAAGGTGTGTGTGTGTGTGTGTGTGTGTGTGTGTGTGTGTGTGAATATATGCCACATGTGTGCAGGTACCTGCAGGGGCCAGAAGAGTACTTCAGAGCCCTTGGAACTGGACTTACAAGCAATTATGAGCTGCACTATGTGAGTGCTGGGAACTGAACCCAGGTCCTCTGTAAGAGCAACCAGTGTTCTTATGATCTGGATATGATGTCCTGGGTAGAAAGGACTGTCACTAACATCTCTTAGGAGGTAGTAAGGTGTTGAGATGGGGCAGTACCCTATAGGCCTGTGGTTAGTTATCAGTCCCACAGTGAGCCCTTCCCTTTGGGCTGTCAGTGTCACATGGGCTTCTCTACAGCTCCTAGCCTTGGAGCAGAATGTCTGGAGCTGGCTGGGAATCTCCCTTGTCGAGTGTGCTGGACTGAAAGCGGTTGGAGTTTGGTATTTCTTCTTCCACATGGAAGAGTAGAGCCAGCTGGAGTTGAGTATCTCTCTTTCCCCAGTCATTTCTGCTCTGCTAAATCTCCAGCTGGTTCAGCTGTGGTTAAATCGTTTCTCCCGAGGGGCAGAAATTGTTAAGAAGAATGGAATTCGCCTGGGTATTTCAAGATGGTTTCTTTCCCTCTCTCTGCCAGAAGTACTGGGGGATTTTTCTCTGATAGTCATTGTGAGAACCTATTAGAGTTCTAGGAAGCAGATCTCACAAGTCTGAGAGCCCCAAGGACTGGGGTCACTGGAGCCTTTGTCTCTCAGACTTGTCCATGTGGAGCCTGTAGCACTTTGTCAAACTCATTGCAGATGTTCTCTACCCTAGCAGTGCGGCCAAGGAGATGTGGGTTGCTGCTCTGGTAAGTTCTAATTCTCTGTGTTCACTTGTTAAATATCACCAATCTGGGGAGGCAGAGGTTTGTCCTGCGACCTCACCTCTCTCATGGGCCTCAGAAGACGGGTTGAATTTCCAGCTTTTTGTGGTTGTTAGGAAGGAGGGGCAGCTTCCAGCTTTCTACAAGCCAGACGGGAAACAGCGGCTCAGGAAGTTTATTTTGCCCCATGTTCAGCCAGGGACTCAGAGCATCCAAGTGTCCTCCCTGATGGCTCCCTAGAGAGTGCAACCCTGGGTTTGTATGCAGAGTCTTCCAGATGCCCCAGTGGTGAGTGGGACTTGTATTTTTAAACCCAGTCTCTCAGGAGCTGCCTCTGGGCAGGGGAGCTTATAATTCAGCGAGTATGAGACTGTCTTTAAGCTCCTTGTTCCAGAGAGACTTTAACCTGTGTTGATGGCCAGTGTGAGGTTTGGGGAACACTCAAATCCACCCCCAGGTCCGCTCTGTGAGCTCCTGTGTGGGTGGGCAGCCTTGCGCATGTGCACAGCTTTCCCCACTCTCAGGGTTGACTGGGATCCTAGCAGACCTCTTTCCTTGGTTCTGTCAAACATCCCTCTGTTTTGTTAGTTTGCTCATAGAACAGAGCTGATAACCTCTTCATCGTCCTCATCTTCATGGGCTTCAAGTTCCCAGCCAAAGAGTTCTCCACTCTGGTCCAGATGGCCCTTCCTCCCAGGCAGCTGGGCAGAGTTCCTCTTCCCAAGCATAACCTCTGCCCTATTGCACCGAAATTGTGGGCTGCCCCTGCTTTGTGGGTGGAGGTGCGTGGGGTGGGAGGGTGGCTGACCCTGCTTTCCTGACTTGCCCCTCCTGACCTGGAAACCCCACCCTAGGAGCAGGTGAAGTTGATGCCGGCATCGGGATTAGAATTTGCAGCTTGCTGGGGCAATTCCTATCCTGTAAGTGAAGTGCAGTGGTGGTGGGAGTGGGATGACGATGACACAGCCAAACTTGTTTTGGCTGCTCTGTTTTAGAATAGTCTTTGTAGTACCAGGCTGAGGGTGTGTGTGTAAATGTAATATGCATGTGTAGTAACATTTTCTTGCTGGGCATGGTAGTTCACTTCCTAGCATTCTGGACGCAAGGGGATCAGGAGTTTGGGCTACATAGTAAGTTCCAGATCTGCCTGGGATACTTGATGAGACCTTGCATCAAAAAGCTAAAGGAAAAAAAATAAAAAAGGCCAGATATGGTAGCACATACTATGGAAGGAGAGGAGGGAGGGTCAGTAGTTCAAGGTCAGCCTGGGCTATGGGAGACCGTATCTCAAAGAAGAAAAATGTTTTCTTCCCTCACTTCTCTATTTCTTCTTTTGTTCTTTTATTTTTAAAGAACTCTTTATTTATATTTTATGTGTCTGAATGTTTTGCCTGCATGAAAATGAGTCACCACATGCGTGCAATACCTGCAGCGGCCAGAAGAGGGTGTTGGATCCCCTGGAACTGGAGTTACTGATGGTTGTTAGCCACCATCATAGGTGCTGAGAACTGAATTTGAGCCCTCTGCAAGAGCAGTCAGTGCTCCTAACCACTAAGCCATCTCTCTAGCTCTTCCCCTACCCCACTTTTTTGAGACCAGATTTTTGTTTTGGGTTTTTTTGTTGTTGTTATTTTGAGACCAGGTCTCACTATGTAGCCCTGGCTGGCCTAGAACTCAGAGATACATGTCTTTGCCTCCTGAGTGCTGAGATTAAAGGTATGTGCTGCCATGCTTGGCTTAGACAGGATTTGGCTGTAGCCCTGGATAGCCTGGAACTCACTACAGCCCAGGTTGACTTCCAGCTTTCAGAAACCCTCCTACCTCTGCCTCTCAAGGGCTGAGATTCCAGGCACATGCCCCCATACCTGGCCCCTTTTCATGTCTTTTTTATTCGGTAGCTTAAGTGTTGTCGTTCAGTGTACATGTGAGCTCCAATATCTCCTTCCATTCTTCACTACTCTTGCTGCTCTTTGGAAATTGCTCAGTAATGACCCTACAGCCCCGCAACATCCTTGCTGCCTGGTGGTACATAAGTGCTGTGGGTAGGTGCACCTGTGTCAAGGGAAGACAACAGTGGTGCCCCAAGGAGTGTGATTAAAGAAGCTGCTGAACTCCAAGCACCTTGAGTGCCCAGGAACTCCTCTCAGCATCCCCAGCACAAACGGTCACTTAGGTACAGCAAACACTGGCTGTCAACTGACTGCTGTGCTGTTTACTGGCCACCAATCCTGGGGCAGCACACTCCTGACTGCTGCTCAGGGGTAGCTGGGAGCCTGAGTGGGAGGGGGTTTCTGCAGAAGAAATGATCTTGCTGGAAATTTGTCTGGAAGTTGAATTGTCATAATTAGTTTAGTCGTAAGTCAAATTGTATGTTTATGTGATTGTGGTGGCTGTTTGGCAGTAGAACCATCCTCTACTATGACTTCTGGGCATGACTTTATGAAGTCAGCCCCTCAAGGCCTTCACTGGGTCTTTGAGGAGCATGAATAACCTGGCCGAAGGAAACAGAAGCTCCAGGAAAGACATAGGTTAATGCCTTGAGATGTTTTTTTTTTTTTTTCCTCTGCCATATCTTCTTTTTTAAAAAGAAATTTTATTATTTTCATTTTATATGTATGTGTATATTACCTGAATGTGCATAAGTGCACCTGTGTTGTGCCCAGGGAGGTCAGAAGAGGGCACTGGAGCCCCTGGAACTGGAGTTATGGATGGTTGTTAGCCACCATGTGGGTGCTGGGATTCAAACCCTGGTCCTTTGCAAGAGCAGTCAGTGCTTTTAACCCCTGAGCCATCTCTCCAGCCCCCATCATATCTTCTAAGTGAGCTTCCTCACAGGAAAGCAACCTGCTCAATAATATCTTATTTATGAAGATTTTCTGAAATAGTGCAGTCACAGAGCTGGGAATGTGGCTCTGTTGGTAGAAAGCTTGCATGAAGCCCTGGGTTCCATTCCCGGCCCTGCTTAAACTGGGTGTGGTGGCTCATGCCTCTAATCCCAACACTCAGGAGGTGGAGACAGGAGGATCTGGAGTTCATGGCTATTTGTGGTCACAAGTAAGTTTGGAGTCCATCTGGGCTACATGAGATCCTATCTCAAAAACAAACAAACAAACAAACAAAAAAACAAACCCAATCAACCAGACAAAACTCCTAGAAACACCCATCTTGTTAGGTGTCCTAACTGGGTTTGCCTCTGCCATGCTGTCCCTGGATATGAGGGTGTGGAGACACTGCCTTCCAACTATTGTCCTGGGAAAGTGAATCCTTGCTCTGGAGTGCCTGGATCAACGAGCAGTATGGCAAGCAGGAGATATTCTTCCTCCTATTAATAGCATAAGGTCCTGGGGCAGGCCTGTGCTGTACATTCAAAGTGAGAAAGGCAGACAGGGTGACTCTGTCACATCCTAAAAGCAGGACCAGCAAGAGCTGTGGGAGCCTGTGACAGTGTCCAGGGCAGGACAAGGAGGAAATGGTGGAGAAGAAGGCAGGATCCTGGATACCCTGACACCCAGTAGGGGTGCTGCACAGGGAGGGAGCCTGAATCCCAGCAATAGCTGCTCGCTAGGTATGAGGTTTTAGCATAGAGCCTTCTGGGCCCTGGAAAACTTGAAACCCCCAGTCCTGTTGTCCTGGGATCTCCTTCCGGGAGCCATTTGCCCCTCTGGAAGGCAAAGCTATGGGGTTTCACCCCTCTTCCATCCATAGGAGGACCCTAATTGCCCTCTATTCAGCCCTGCAATTCCTGGTATGGTCAGTGAGGACCAAGGCAATGTATGTGTAAAGAGATTTGCACCCACATTTTCCACAGCCCATCATGTATGAGTTCTGATGCATACATGTATACTTCTGGGTCCATGACAGACTCTGTGGAATCAGAACTGCTCAAGAAACCTGGTGTCCATTGTGGCTAATGCTTTGGGTGGTAGGACCCAAGTTCTGTGGACCTCTCAGGCTGAGTGGCTGCTCTTTCTTCATTATTGTGCCAGCTAAGGTCATTCAGGAGACAGGCAGGTGACTCTGGGACTCTGAGGCGTAAGGATAAAGGTGTCAGACTCAATGAAGCTGCTGGTAAGGAATGCAGGTAGCTGTTATTTACATTAGAAACAGTTTTAAAAACAATGATAATCACTGTTTTGGTGAAGAATGAAGGAGAGGTGGCGACTGAAAGTACAAATACACATTAATGGAACTTTTTTTTTTTAGACAGGTCTCATGTGGCTAGGCTGGCCTCCAACTCACATTCCAGACATTTGCCAGCATGCCTGGTTTGTGTGGTGCTGTTCTTAAATACACGAGAAGGTACTCAACCTCAATGAAAATATGAGGAATGCAGCCGGGTGTGGTGGTGCATGCCATTAATCCCAGCACTCAAGGAGGCAGAGGCAGGCAGATCTCTATGAGTTCAAGGTCAGGCTGGTCTAAGAAGGAAGTTCTAGGCCAGTCAGGGTTATAGGGAGACCGTCTCAAAAAAAAGTAAAAATAAAAATACGAGGAATGCAAATGAAAATGGGGTACATAGTCCTTAGTGAGAGATTAAGGCTTGGTAGCTTTGTTGAGGGAAAGAGAAAAATCAGAACATTGGACAATGCATTGTTGATTTTGTAGTAAGTGACTGGTAAGCTTTAATTACTTATATATATGTGAAGATTTTATGAAAATTGTATTAGAATTGATTATCTCAGAGTTAAGTTTGAAGGAGAGTAGGGTTTTTTAAATTTGTGTTTCATTTGTTTACTTTTATGTGTGTAAGTGTTTTGCCTGCATATATGTAAGTGTACCTGTACATGCAATACTCACGGAGGCTAGAAGAGGGCATTGGATCCCTAGAACTGGAGTTGTACATGGCTGTGAGGTGCATTGTGGGTGCTGGGAACCAAATCCAGGTCCTGTTTAGGAGTCGCTTGTGCTCTTGAGCACACTGGGAAAGTGAAGACCAGCCACTAGAAAGGAGTTTTCTTCTGGAACCTACCTTGAGAGAGAACACCTTTACAGACAGACCGGTTCTGTGGTGTTCTTGGTCACACATATATGGCATCTCTGAAGGGCAGTGGAGATTACTGCCAGGCACAGCACGACCTCCATGCAGACAAGTGAACTGTAGAAATTCATTACCAAAAGCTCCCATAGAGTGCATAACCTGGACACAGACGTGCATGTTGAATTGAGACCTGCAGAGCTCAGACCTGCAAACCTCAGTGCATAGCCTTTGGTTTGCCTCAGTACTCCTGGATTGAATAGAGTTGCCGCTTCTTGTGAGGAGATTTGTTTCATTCCCCATTTCTCCCAATTTCACACTCAAAGCCCTGAGAATTTCAAGTGAGTATATTGAATATTGACGTAGACTTCGGTCTTTTTTTTTTTTTTTTGACATCATTTCTGTACCGGCTTTTTAAAATTCTTTCATAACCTTATTGAATTTTTCTTTAAACTAAATTAACATAGCTCAAACGAACCGCCCTGCTCCTGTGGAAGTCACATACAAGAACATGAGATTCTTTATTCCACACAATCCAACCAACGCAACCTTAAACAAATTTATAAGGGAACTTAAGAAATATGGAGTTACCACAATAGTAAGAGTATGTGAAGCAACTTACGACACTACTCTTGTGGAGAAAGAAGGCATTCGTGTTTTTGATTGGCCTTTTGATGATGGTGCACCACCATCCAACCAAATTGTTGATGACTCGTTAAGTCTCATGAAGATTAAGTTTCGTGAAGAATCTGGCTGTTGCATTGCTGTCCTTTGTATTGCAGGCCTTGGGAGAGCTCCGGGGCTGGTCGCCCTGGCAGGAATTGAAGCTGGGGTGAAATGTGAAGATGCAGTGCAGTTCAGAGGACAAAAGCATGGTGGAGCTTTTAACAGCGAGCGACGTTTGTGTCTGGAGAAGTACCATCCTGAAATGCAGCTGCGCTTCAAGGATTCCAATGTTCATAGAAACAACTGTTGTATTCAATAAACTGGGATGCCTGATGCCATCGCCCCGGAAATGGAACTTCAGATGGGACCTAATGTGTTGTACATAATCAGCAAATGTTGATGTGGAGAGTAAGTCTAATGAAGCTTCTGCAGGAATATTGAGAACCAGTTTTACCAGGCCATGCAAGCTTGACAGAATTGCAACCTCTGTGTTTGGGTTATGATTGACCTGTTTGGACACTTAGCAAAAGATTTTTGTTGGTCAGCAATTAAAATGAACTTATTATTTGTACCAATTGACCTTTCTCAAAATCCTATGGTACTGAGTTATGTCTTTAAATCTATTCCTGTGCCAGAATCTTATCAGTAAATAAGGGAGTTAGAACAATTAGGTGCCAAAATACCCAGCACAAAATTTGTATATTTTTAGTATTATATAAAGCCCAAATCCCAGGAACTAAGAACGCTCTATCTAGACCTTCCATGGTTTATTCCTTCAGTCCTTGCAAACACTGTGGGGTCTCTGGTTATTCATCTGCTCACTCTGTTTACATCTCCATTCATACCAGTACGCATCAGGTTTGCTTAACCATTGTCTTTTAAAAAAAAAAACAGGTCTTATGGTGATTATTTAATACCTTTCCATGTCTTATTATGTGCTGTTATAGGACACCTCCATTTTTAAAAAACTACATTCTTACAGAAGCATATATCTTTAATAATGTCTCCAGACAGAAAGCCTTATAGTTAATTTAATGTTTACACTCAGAGGTGCAGCTGAACAGCCTGAAAAAGAATGGGAGGGGCTATTAAATATTTTTAGTAAAATGTTGCCTTTGTCTTGTGCAGAACATGTGGAATATGCTCAAATATTTTTAAAAGGTAGAGATTCGTTGTTGTAGCTAAACAATTCTTAGTCAAAATTTTTGAAATTCTTGTAAATTTTTTCCATACTTATCAGAAGTTGTTTTCCAACTTTTTGTTTGAATAATGATTTTTCTCCCTTTTCTCCCTAAACTCTCTTGCAAAAAAGTGAATCCTGCTAATGAACTGAGCAGACATCTAATATTTTATGCCTTTTGAGCTATGAAACTTAATAATTGGATACTTGGTAATTTGTTTAATTATGTAATCAATAAAATGGTGATGTGTATTAATGTTAGTTTAATCATATATTTGTACTGTGTGGGAATTTGTGTTTATAGTTCTGTGGGAGAAATAATTTTTCAGTGTTCACCAGCTTGTAAAAACTTAGTTTGAGAGCTTAAGCATCTAAATAAATAATGAAATGCCAAAAAAAAAAAAATTGAGTAGCTGGTGCTCTTAACCACTGAGGCATCTCTCCAGCCTTTGTTTATGTTTTGAGACACGGTCTGTGCTAGTTAGTTTTTTGGGTTTTTTTTTCAACTTGACACAAACTAGAGTCACCTGCAAAAGAACCTCAGCTGAGAAATTACCTCCATCAGACTGGTCTGTGTGCATGTCTGGGGGGCAAGCCTTCCTGTCGTATTGACTACAGTGTTCAGTCCTGACTCATGGCTTCACATGTTCACTCCCAGCTTGGGAGTCCAGATTATGTGATGAACCTCATCTGTCTGCTCCCATCCTTAGCCCTCTGTATCTGTCCACATGTGCATGTGTGTGCACACTCATGCAAGCTTACTCCTGTGCATAATGGTTGTATACTATTTTCCCTCCAAAATTAATTTTTTTAAGGCAGGACCTCACTTTGTAGACCAGGCTGGCCTTGAACACACAGAGATCCACTTGCCTTTGCCTTCTGAGTGTTGGGATTAAAGGCAACATTCGTGTTGAAATACTGATACAAGATCTGAGATAGCTCAGTATGTAAAACTGCTTCGTGTAAGCAAAGGACCTGAGTTTGGATCCCCACAACCTATGTAAAACCAGACACAGAGGGATAGCATCTGTAATCCCAGCCTCCTATGGGGAGAGGAGAGTGGAGACAGAATCCTCAGGAGCTCATGGACAAGCAAGCCTGGCATATGCAGTGGAAAAACAAGACTGTCTCAAACAACGGAGAAGTCAGAGACTAACACCCCATGCTGTCCTCACATACCCATACACATGCCATGGTATGTGCAAGTCTGCACTCATGCACACAAATGCACACACATAATCACACACACATACACACAGAGAGAAATATGGATACAAATTACTTTTGGCTGCATTCGTGTTCAAGGTGGGAAAAGCCAGTTTGCTCTGGTTAGAGAAATATAGTTGAAATGTGTCAACAGCTTGCACTACTATGTTTGGGACATTTTTGTTTGTTTACAGTGCTGGGGATGGTACCTGGGATTTTGGTTGCCTTAAGTAAGTAGGCTGCCACTGAGCCCTGAGGAAGCAGTTTAGTAACCAGGGATCTCAAATCTGGAAATAGTGAGTGCTCTGTTCTATCAAACAGGACTTCTTTTTCTTCACTTTCTTCCCCATATCCTTAGCTAAACTCTGGGCAGAAACAATGGGAATTTCATGAAATTCCAGAGCTCCTGGATACTGTCATATCCACATAAAGGAGATGCCTTAGGCTCCTGTTCTTATAAGGCCCTCATAGGTGTCACTCCTTAACATCCTATGTGAGAAATCAGATGTGTTCCAGACCTATGCATTTGAATTGCTGTGCAATATCTAAGTGGAGAAGATGTATCAAGCTTAATATGTTTAGCTGAGCATGGTAGTCCCATGCCTGCAATCCTAGCACTTAGGAGACTGAGCCAAGAGGTTCATGTATTCGAGGCCAACCTGAGATACATAGGGAGATTCTGTTTTCAAAAAGGAAAAAAAAAAAATCCTTAAAACAATGACTAGAGGGGCTGAAGAGATGGCTCAGCAGTTAAGAACACTGTCTGTTCTTGTAGAAAACCTGGGTTCAAATCCCAGCACATGATAGCTAACAACGGTCTGTAACTCCAGTTCCAGGGGGATCTGATGCCCCCTTCTTTTCTCCATGGGCATTGCATGACACAGGTGCACTTACACACATGCAGGCATAATACTCATACACATAACATTTAAATAAATAAAAAGTTAAAAACAAAACAAAACAAGGACTAGAGAGATGGCTCAGTAGTTAAGAGCACTTACTGCTCTTGCAAGAAGATCTGAGTTCAGTTCCCAGCACCCATATTAGGGAGTTTTCAACCACCTGTAACTCCAGCTCCAGAGGATCTGATGCCCTCTTCTGGTCACCAAGGACACCTGCACTCATGTGTAAACACACACACACACACACACACACACACACAAATTAAAATAATAAATTTTTTTAAAAAATCAAAAGTAAAAGAAACAGCATGTCCCCAGAGTGAACACATCTGTGATCTTCCCCATCCACCAACGTGTTCTCCTCCTCCATGTTCCTTGTCTTGGTGTGATGATTTTGAGTGCACCTGGCAGAATTGCAAACTTGAGGGTAATTGACAAAGGGCTTGTTCTGCACTCTGTAATCCATTATCCTTTGTCCTCAGACTGTGCTTTTCCTAGGCTGCTCCCAGCAATGCTGAAGACCGCAAAGATTTAGAGACAGATCCATCTCTAGGAAGCACTGACCTTTGCTCAGACTCCCTGTTGGTCTTATGGGATCTTCCACAGTCAGTGCAGCAATCTAGATGCTGTCATCTGACCTTCCTTCCTTGGTCCAACTCTTAGTGTCTCCTCACCCCATTCTCTCTCCTCTCTCTCTCTCTCTCTCTCTCTCTCTCTCTCTCTCTCCTCTCTCATCTCATATAGCCTGGCCTGGCTTTGTACTCAGCTGTGTAGCTGAAAATGACCTTGAACGTCTTTTTTTTTTCTTTTTTTAAGACAGGATCTACCCATAGCCCCAGCTGACCTGGAATTCACTATATATACCATGCTGGCCTTGAACTCACAGAGATCCACTAGCCTCTGACTCCTGAGTGCTGGGATTAAAGGGGTATATGCTACCATGCCCTGCAACCTTGAACCTCAGATCCTCTTGCCTCTACTTCCCAATCTACCTCCCAAATCCTGGGATTATGGTTATGTACTACTCTGATTTTGTTTTATGACTTAAAAAATGCAATGTGGGAATTGAACCCAGGGTTTTGTGCATGCTTGTAAGCATTCTACCAACTGAACTACATCTCCAGCTTTCACATTTAGGGCCATGGCACCTTTCTCAAGCACTCAGTAAGGATAATAGTATTGCCAAAGGTGGTGTCTCTACCTTGGAAGGACTGGCAGGCTGTCCTTGTAGGAATGGAAGCCTGCTCAGAGTGTGGGTTTGCTTTTCCTGCCTCTGGATGGTGTTTAAGTGATATGAAGGGTCTCACTTTTGCCAGGGGACCCAACAAGGGTTCTAATGAACTACAGGATGTTAACATATAACCCTCTTTCAACATTAAGAGATTGAAAACTGAAGTCCACCTTCTAGGAAAACACACTTGCAATGTGGGCAGCTAATAGGACTTGTTTCTCCTTGGAAGGATTCATACCTTCATGAGAACCAGATAGAAACATGAGGAAAGGCCTTGAAAAGATACTACACCCCAAAGAATATCCATATAGCCACTGCACATTTGAGAAGATGTCAGTCTCTAGGAGTTATTTAAGAATGTGGACTTAAACTTTAATGTGATGGCATTAGAAATGGCTGGAGAGATGGCTCAGCAGTTAAGAGCACTGGCTGCTCTTGCAGAGGATGTTCAATTCCCAGCCCCCACGTGGCTGCTAACAACTCCGGTTCCTGAGTATCCAACACCCTCTTCTGACCTCCGTGTGCATTGTACAACATGGGTGCGCTTACACACATGCAGGCAATACGCTCGTAAAATAAAAAATTTAAAAAAGAAATGGCTAAAATAAAACCAGACAGTAGCAAGTGTTGGTAAATAGCTGGTGTTGACCCAACATGATTCTCACACAGCTTGTGAAAGTGACAGTAACCTATACAAACTTTTTCTGTGGGCAGCAATGTGACATGCACCTACATTCATCAAAAGATGGAAAAAGCTGGATGGGGTGGCATACACCTTCAACTTCAGCACTCAGGAGGCAGAGGCAGAGGCAGATGGATTCCTGAGTTCCAGGCCAGCCTGGTCTATATAGTGAGTTCCAGGCTACCTAGTTACATGGTGAGACTCTATCTAAAGAAACAAAAAAAGAAAGAAAAGAAAGTCAGGCATGGTGGCAGGCAAGTACACTAGATGAGCCAAGAGACTGAGGTAGAGAATTGAGCGGTCAATGTCAGCCTTGAATTTTTTGCTTCAAGAAGCAAAAACAGGGCTGGTGAGATGGCTCAGTACATAAAGGTGCTGCCCAGTCTGACAACCCAAGTTCTATCCCCAGAACCCACATGGTTAAGGAGAGAATGGAGTCCCACAAGTTGTCCTCTGACCTCTGCACATATCATGGTGTGTGCGCGTGCACACGCGTGTGCACACACAGACACACACACACATAGAAATAAATAAAAGTAAAAAAAACCAAACCAGTATAAATGCTCCTAGCAGCCAAAAACAAGTAAAAATGTCCTTGTAGAAGAATGGATAAAGGAACTGTCTATTCACACCACAGCAAGGAGGAGGAACGGGTGACAGTTACACACAGAGGCACAGGTGACGGTCACAGGCCAGGCACAAAGCATATGTGGTTATTCCGCCGTAAAATTCTTCAAAACAAACCAAACAGCCCTGAGCATTAGAAATCAGGATAGAGGCCATCTTCAGCTGTCAAACTGGCTTCTGAGATGCTGGTGAGCTTATGTGCTATGTGCTAGCTTATGTGCTAGTTCCACGGGTGTGTTCCCTCTGTCAGAACTCTAGCTGTTCTAGAATTTTGGTGAGTTTCTTTATATTTTGTCATAATACATTCCATTAAACTCTACTCTTTTTTTTCCCCCTCTCAATATTTTCATTATCAAAAACTAAGGGGACTGAGGATGGGGTGCGGTTGTTAGAATGCCTGCCTAGCATGCGGGAAGCCTGTGCATCCCCAGCATAAACCAGGCATGGTGAGATACACCTGTAATCCCAGCACCCAGGAGGTGAGGGCAGGAGGATCAGAAGTTCAAGATCACCCTTGGTTACATAGCATGAGTTCAGGGGTATCCTGGGCTACATGAGACCTTGTCTTTAAAAAAATGTGTATTGAGGTTTCTACATTTCATAGTTTTTTTTTTTTTTTTTTGAGACAGAGTTTCCCTATGTAGTCCTTGCTGACCTGTAACTTCATTATGTAGATCAGGCTGGCCTCAAACGTGCAGACGTTCACCTGCCTCTGCCTCACCAGTGC